GCGTAGTCGGTGAATCTATTAACTCCCGCTGCCAAGAAGCGATTGTCGATGGTAATACATCAAACAACCGATCACTGTCGCACCAGCGCCGCACGTCGAAATTGGGCGCCAACGCCGCGTGTTTCTGTCAGCCCTCCCGCCCGCCCCGCCAGCGCCAAGGGCGCCTCCGGCCCGCGCTGCCGCGCCCCGCCGGGAGGCAGGCGGCGCTTCGCGCGCTCGCACGGGCGCCGCGTACCACGCGGCGGATTGGCGGCCCGCGCGATGCACAGGAACAAGGAGAACAATGGGGTGGTCAAGCGTGACGGCGGCGGGTGAGTTCCGGGGAATCATGGTTGCCGATCGGTGATGGGCCCCTTGGGCGTCAGGGGGGCGATCTCGTGAGATCCGATCGCCCGATTGGGAGCCGCCGTGCCGGTAGGCGGCTGCCACCTCCGGGCGTCGGTGCGTCGGAGCGTCGATTGGGCAAGCGGCGCCGGTGCCGTTCGCGGGAGCCGAAGAGACATTCTTGGATGTTCTTGGATGGTCATGGCCGCGTTTAGATGGTCGTGGCTGTTCTTCTTGGATGGTCTTGGCCCTTCTTCCGCAATGTTGCGCCCGTCGTCGCCTGAGAAGTGAGAGGGCGCCGGCAAGGCTTTCGAAGGCAGGTTTTGAACGAAGGATTTGGGAAACTCGGAAGGTCGCATTGGGATCTGATGAAGGATGGCGCTTGCGGTCGGGGCACCAGCTACGCGTGCGCGGGGCGTAGGCATGGCGCGGCGCCGCGAGGGACGAGCGCGCCTCGATCTGGCGAACGAGATCAGCGACGGTGTGGGGCAGATGGCCTCGGCGGCGATCGGACGGGAGAGAGAGCGGGATGACAATCTTTTGGATCTCTCGGAGCGTCCAAACTCGCACTCTAGAGGGAGAATGGGTGGATCGCTGTCCTCGAGGAACTTTGCAGCATCGGGGGAGGGGCGTGGGCCCCAATGCCACCATAACCGCAGGCCGGGGCTTGTTGCGCCGTCGCTCGCAGCGGCCGCCGAGGCGCTGGGAACACGTGCTGAAGGCAAAGCTTCGCGACGCGACGGCCCTGCCTGGAAATCCGCTGCAGGCCGCAGGGTGGGGGGGCGAAGCTTTACGGATTGCGATGTCCAGAAGCAATCAAAGAAGCGGGGTGCAATTCTGTTGCAATTCATTTGGAATGGCCCTCAAGGGAGTGGACTCCCCTCTCCCTTGCCCAGGACAGGTGGTTCGATAGAGCAACAGGATATCCCAACAGAATACCAGGTTCGATCTCCGGTTAAGTCACCCTCGTTACCATCCGCACTTCAACACAATTTCAGCATTGTCAGCATGCACGAGGAAAATTCCACCAGACGGGGAACAGCACAATGGAGAGGGAGACACACGCATCCAGGGATGGCGCGCGAACAGAATGCACACGACTTGAGAGCCTTTTCTGTATCCACGGATGCTTCGGGGACTCGCGATGAGCAATGCATAGCATGCCATTTCTCATGGGATTGGTGTCACGCCAGCGGTGTTGACGAATTTCAGGCACGTGAGCGAGAGGAACATTCGGGAGGCAATCGAATTCATACAGCAGGTGAAGACCCGCTTTTTGGAGGAACCTCCGCGGTACAAGGAATTCACGGAGCTTATGCAGATGTACAAGTCCAGCAGGTGCGCACTGCTGAAAGGTATTTGCAGACATTTGAGCTCTGTACAATGGCCATGGGTCTTTACAGCTGGGCGCAAAACCCTGCAATAGTACGCCATACAGTCCGGTCAATGGCTTACCGCCTCCAAAACATGTTGAACTTTGGGCTGTGCGCCCATCAGACACGCTATGCTGTTCCTTGGTGTGCCTGCAACGGTTTTCATTACGCTCTTGTGCCAAGAGGTGCAAATGCGCGTTTTCAACTGGGGTACTTGAGCCCGTTTTGACACAACCAAGACTGCTGGCACCCGGTTTTGTTCAAGATAGATAGATATGCATTTGTAGGCTATCTTTGGACATTGTGGTGGCGGCCGTTGAGAGACTGTTCACGAAGCACCCGGACTTGTTGATGCGCTTCAAGACTTTCCTTCCTAGGGAGACCCTGGTGGAGCTGGAGAGTCCGCAGAAGCAGCTTGTAGAAGAGGGATGAGTGGCGTGACCTGGCATCAGGTACCTGACCACGGGCTGCACTTGTGCCCATAATTTTCGGATCACGCATAACGACGCTTTTTATCATCATCTGCCCCAATGACAATTTGAATCCCGCACCATCTATTCAGTTTATGCATTGCCAACATAGCCCGTCATCCGGTGCTGCCATCCATGTGCAGAAGAGATTGCAGTCATCGTTGCGTCTGCCTTGCAAACTCTAGTTTCCTGGAAGAACGAGGAACGCAAACGGCTGTGTTTACGCCTGGCAGGCGCGGTGCGATCTCCTCAAGCCCAATATTCACACAGATGTTGCAACTTTCAAGACGGAAGAACATCGGATTGGAAATCGTCTTTGCTCTTGTCCACACAGCATTGCGCTCATACAAGCTGCCATCGTGCTTAATAAGTTAAAGTGCTTTTTGTCGATGTGTTTTCGATTTTGGCACATATTTGCCAACAGCGCAAAACCGCCTTGACTTCGTGTTGCTTCGCGTGAAATGTGTGAAAAACCAGCTCAGTTAGCTTCTGTCGAGTTGCGCCACCTACCTTGCAATTTCCCCTAGTGAGGGCAAGATGGCGCTTCATTGCGCTGTGCCAAATGCAAGCAACGCGGCCTTCTGAGCTGCGCTGCACCTTTTTTGAAGGGCGCCACACTGATAGCATACTCCCCTGGAACGGCTTCACGCAAAACCGAATCCGCACCAGATGCGGGAATGTGAAGCATCTCTTTTTGCCTTTGCAATGCGCTGCGATGCGCGCCAGAAACGGAAGTTGTTTTTTCGAAGCGGTGTGTTTCAAAACATGCATCCAGAATAACTTTACATAGGTGCTTCTTCATTTGCCGCTTTGGGAGCCAACTGGGGACCTACTGTAGTTGCTATTCTATTGGTGCATGTTTCATCATCCACATCGATCTGGCTCCGTAGTTACCAGTTTGTGGCCTGACCTGGGGGACCGCGACGCAGTCCACGACCAGTCTATTGCACACGCTGCGTGCGTCGTTCAGAAGTAGGTACAGGCCTGGGACAGCTCAGAAGGGTCAGATCGCACTGAAGCGCGCGGCTGGCGTGCGCTCTAGGAAACGGGAGCTTCTGAAGGGATGCTGGATGGGACCATGGAACAAGAGAAACATAAATGAATGAATGAGTGAATGCATATTTGAAACCAAAATGAACAAGAAAACGGGGAATAGGCAGGTCAATTTGTCGGTCATGCACGTCGCCAAACAGCCGTGAAGGGAGCCGGGGAACTGGCACTTGTTACCCCGGTGCGCAAACCATACAGCAACTAGGAGCTGCAGGGACGGACTAAGAGGCGACTGTGCTCTGAATACGGTGCTTCAGCAACAGAAGGAACGGCACATTTGAGTCTTGATTTATTTGCGGCCTTGTTTCCAGGTTCCAGCTCCATCCGGGATGCAAGCTCTGATGCTAGATTGACGCAGCAGGCAGGCGAGGGTGAGTAGGGGAACAGCCAGAACGAACATTGACTGTCGCTCGGTTCATGCTGGAAATGACGCTGCATGGAGTGCTCCATTCATTCTGCTCAGAATGAACGTGCAAGGGGCCCACACGAGCAAAACCCGTTTAAATGCCACCAGATTCATTGTTTTGTTATTTCCCCAGTTCGGGCCCATGAACGCTGTGTGATACGGTCAGGATCCAGATGCTTTCTTGTGTTTGCGGGTCTGCTCTTTATAAGCGCTAATGTTGTATCCATATGTATTAGAATATGTTGTAACGTTTGGCATTGTTCTGATGTCGTAGCCCGAATTTTCACGAGAGACATTAGCTCTAAACACGGTCCATACAGCAGTACGCCACGCAGGAAACCTTTTTGTGACAAATGATGTGGATTTGCCCCATTTGCATTGTTGACAATCGACTTCCAACAATTCTCGCTGCTGAAAACCGAGAGAAACTTTGTGCAGTGGACACTTTCCTCCAATGCATGGCCTTGGACTTGGCAACGCCTATCACAAGCAGGGCACGCGCCCACCTCCACCCTCGTCGAGGTACAGTCCGGTGGGTCGCTCAACAAACACTGAACCACAACTACTGAAATGAAGCATCTGCCCTTCTCGCGGCCGGGCCATTGCCCGCGTAGCAGCCCAATTGTGTGCCCGTTATCCTCTCACGCTTCAACCTAGTAAGAGATCAACCTTCGAGCCGAAATGAAAATTTGTGCCCAGCCAGGCACACGACTGCCAGCAGAAACAAGGATCGAACATTCCACATAGACATTGTTCTTATTCTATGCTGTTGCATTCCAGGCCCCGCAAAAGGGCCCATGACATCTTCGGCGCTCGCAGCAATTGATAAGAACGCCCTTTGCCTTGCGCATGCATTTTCTGCGCAACCACGGTCGCAAAAGCCGGAACTTCCACGTCCCTCCCACCGACCAACGCCTAGAGATGCTTCTCGTCCGGCAGAGGCCAAAAACACCCAGAGACGCATCTACACGGCACGGCCAATAAATAATCAAGTAAAAATAAACAGATGGCGGCACGTTTCGCAGAAAGAACAGGCTTCTCCGTCTTCGCTTCTCTCGCCTTTATTCAGTCTGCAGAACGCCCACCCGTTATTAGGCACTCAACACGCTTCCGTGTTGACAATGCGCCCCAGCAGAGAGTGGCCATACCCTCAGTCCTGAAAACCTAACACGAAGCCCTCAAACTGACAGCCCAACCCTTCCATATCCTAAAAGGGGACTCTTTTATGATTTGAAAAGGAGCATCTGTTCGGCGGACACCCACTTGTCCTCCCCCATGCCGCGAAGGCGTCCCTCTCAGCCAAACCTCTGGTACAAGTTTTGAAATTCAACGCTTTCAAGTTCAGAAACGCAGCCACACCGAAATTCGCCAGGCCTGTCACGAGGCCACCGCCCGAACGCGGTGAATCGGGGCCGACGCATCGATCAGATTCACGCACTTCTGCCAGTTCTCCAACGCCCAAAAACAGGGACTGTCGCTCGATGGCCTTCTGGTTAACGTTTCTGGAGCGTCGCGCTGGCGCTTCTTGACCTCTTTGCTCTTTTGCAGTCCGACCGCCTGCACTCTCCACGTTCGCTTCTCCAGAGGCCTCACGTCCTGGCAGCCGAGGATCACCTTTTCAAGGTACCTCTGGAGGAGGGGCAGCTCCCGGTCGTGGGCCCTGCGGACCACGTCGTAGGTCGAGACGTAGATCGCGTTGCCGTAGTTGCGCCGACAGTTACCCGGCGTGTCCTCCACGATAATGGTGTTCTCCTTCCTGAAACCCCGTGCCTTCAAGTCCTGGGGGAACGAACAACAAGTCGTTAACAACATGGGGTGGGGGGCCAGGGCGGGGACATGTCCGTTCATGTCCATACAGACATGTAAGGAACAACGCGCTGTGTGGATCAATGCCTCCAGTCACCCGGCAGCCTCAAGGGCTGTGTGCTGCCGTTCTTGGACAAATACCGTAGAGGGCGCTCAAGGACGAAAAGGCACTGATATATGTCAGTCAATGAGCAGACGTGCCTTGTTCACGGAAAAGTTGCTGTGTTCCTCACCATCAGGGAACGGCCAGCACGTGGTGATACAAAACTGCAAGCAAACGGATGGCCTCAAGTTTTGGCCATGAAACTATGGCCACGTGCAGACAACTCATTGAGGCAAATCTGCCATCTAAGGTGGAAAGACAGCATTTTAAAGACCGCCATAATGTTGAGACAAGGTTTCACAGACATGTGCGCGTCAACATGCTTGACAAGTGGACGCATACCACACCAGACAAATAAACACAAATCAACATACTGATGACATTGCTTCATGCTCACCTTCCGGCGAAACACTTTCTTCAGATCCTTGATGCCGGCACATTCCATTTGCTGTTGGGAATCTCGACCTTTGGACATGTGTGTGCCCCTCTCTTCCGCATACACAAAGCTCCAATCGTATGGCTCGATCACTCTTGACAGCACCTCATCCAGCCAGTCCTGCTTAGAATGAGACCACAGACCTGCATCGGCCAACACCATGGTTTCATGCATCCAACACCATTTTCCATACAGAATTCTGGGTACTGTGCAGGGCTTTGTGGTTTCCTTATCAGCCAGTATTCTTGCACTGTCGAATGCTTAGAGATCAGCAGCCAAGTTTGGCCAGGACCAATGCATCATTCTCCCGTTGATGGGCCGTTTAGGATTGTCTGAATTTTCTTCAGCAAGCTTCAGGGCCAGGCAAGTCCATTTCGGATACGTGGCAGGCAAGAAAGGAAACATGAACACCTAATGTTCCGCAGGTCCTCTGGAACAGACAGTCGTTATGCACTGCGGCCCACAGCAGCTCCCATACGAATGGGATTGGCCTGCCAGTTTGGATGAATAGCATCAACCGCACTCCATTCAGTTGAGCTTCTTCCTTCTGCCGCACTTGGATACGTCTGAGTCGCCTATTCGCGTTGAAAGGCACCTTGCCGCTGTGCAAGGATAAGAATAACCATTGGACAATCTGTTTTCGCTTCTTCGACAAAAACAGCATCCAAAATCCGCAGGTTCTTGCAGCAAACCCCCATGCTGTCGCCACGAGCTGGCCCCGCTGCAGCCATGCTGGAACTCCAGCCGCACGTGCAGGCTCGGCGCCTGGGGCGCAAAACAGAAATCCCACCGAACGACTCGGATCGAGGCAGCCGTCCACGCGCCCCAGCGCGTCGCACGAGTCAAGATGGGGCATTACGATTCACAGCATCGCCAACATGGGGCGCAGCTGCCGGCAGGCGGGAGGGGGCCTCCAAACAGGCGCACTGCATCTGCCCCAGGCCTAATGCCTGGGGCGCCGTCGCAATACAAATGCCGCCGTACAAATGCAACGGGCATCGGATTGTGACGCGGTGCAGGCCCGAGGCTCGAGATGCGGGAGGCAGCGGGAGGCCAGAGGGAAGGGGATGCTCGGGATGGAACATCGTGTCGGCCGCACTGCACGGCGACCCCTGGGCCAAAGCGGGATTTGGAGATCTCAACCCCACACATCGATCCAAGGTTCCTGACGAACAACCTGAATTTCAGCCACCCAGGCAGCCGTCGCGCCGCCGGTCGACCGCGGCGGACTCCGAATAGGCCCCGGCGCAAACGGCGCGTGCGCGGCACGGCAGGCGTGCCGCCGCGCCTCGTAAACGCAGACTGCGACAGCGAGGGGTAACCAACGCGCAGAATGCGCAAAGAAATCCACCGCGGGGGGGAGGGGGGGGTAATCGCTCACCGACGTTCCGGAAGTTCCGGAAGCAGAACTGCAGGAACTCGTCGAGCCCCGGGCGCTTGTAGATGCGCACTCGGCCCATCGCCTCGCCGCAGACGTGCTTCGCCGGCGGTGCCCCCGCTGCCAGAGCCGCCCGCGCGCCGGCCGGGTACTGCGCATCGATCAGCGTGCCGTCCAGATCGAGTATGATGTTCATCCTTCCGATGCGCGCAGGCCCGTCCTCCCCGGCGGCTCGCCAGCCGATCGCCCCTCCCCCGCCGACCACGGCACGCAGCGCGGGGATCGGCGCCGTGAGATGCCGTTCGATTATCCGGCGCTCCGCTAGGCCTAACAGGGAGTGCGCGAGGTTTTGCCAGCCCCTGCGCGGCGACTTGTGCGTCTGCTGCTGCGGAGAACGGTGGGTCGTTCGCTGTGGGTTTGTGCGCGGCGCCGTGGAACGGGGCGCAAATGCGAGGGAAAGCGGGGTGGTGGAGGGAACGTGGGCGGAACCGAGGGGGTGTGGCTGGCGTGTGAGGGAATCGGATGAACACGTAGGAGGCCAGTTGGAGGAGCGGGGGCCGGCGAACAGTACTGGCTGATTGGCGGGCGGTGGCGCTCATTGACTGGGAGCTATGTGCGGAATTCGGGGCCGTTGATGCGGCCGTTGATGCGGCCGTTGATGCGGCCGTTGATGGGCCCCTGCGCTTGTTTGGACAGTTGGCTGGTGAGGTTCGGTGGGCTGCGTTGGAGGTAGGCGCGGCCACAGGCTAGGAGATACACCTGAGGGAACAGAGTTGCAGAGAGATCGCGGACATGCGTGCCCATTTTTGTAGTCATACGACCATCTGTCAATCATGGACCAGTCACTGCCATATCACCGGCGCTTCTCTTCCCGAAGGAAATGGGGAGCAGAGATACTTCTGGACAGGGGCGCCGCTCGATGGGGAGACAAGGTGTTAGGCAGTTCTTTGAGTGCGGCGACCTTCCGGGTGATTGGGCCGTCGCAGTGAAGACCGCCGTGGTTTTTGCTGCGCAGGCTGTGCTGTGCATGTCGGTACAAAGAAAGGCCCCCGTCCGCCTATCCTCTTGCCATTGTTGTGTGCTGATTGGTGTACATGCCAAAGGCGCTTGAGGGTAAATACTTCGATGCTCTGTGTGCCACGCGTTCACACTGAAGCCTGAGCTTTTCACCTGCCCAGCGGCAGCCAACCAGTGGAACATATTCCAGTAAGTGTGAGGCTCCATTTCTGAGTTGGAGCTGAATGTTCGGTGGTGCATTCTCTTCGTCCCTCTGTGTCCAATACTAGAGTAAACGTGCCATCCGACTCATTTAAAGAGGGACCGGTCAATCTGTTGCTCCTCCATGAGACACACAGCCAATCGTCAGTACCCAGAAGTATCCGATATGGGACAACAGGTGGCTTGTCAGTGACAACTTGCCACAGCTGATATGTTTCGCACTAGCATCTCCAAAAATGCATTTGGCGCGTCCTCATTGAAGATTCGAGAATGTGCAGACACCCCTTCGTCCATTTGCACACAAAGGCCATCTCCACTGAAGTTAGACATTGAGTTTGGGCCCTGGGCACACTGAGGATCTTGCACATTATGCAGAAAACTGGAACATAACTGTACACGAAATAAAACAATCATGTGATATTGGAAGTGCAGAAAATCTTGTAGAGAGGAACAGAAATCCCCTTGGAGGTGCACAGACAGTGTTTTCTTTTGTGATGGCAAATGCTATTAAAGTCGATTTCACCAGCTCACTGCCCTGCAAAGAACTGCTCGGCTTTCCTTTGCCACTGGTCTCCTGACTGCAGCCCCTGTGTGCTTCTCACACTGCAAAAGGCTCCAAACCTCTGCCAAGGAGCCTGTGAGCAGTGCGTTGTCAAATTCATGACAAAGCATTCAGCCTTGACTTCCCATCAGATTCCCAACTGTCTGCCCATTGTACCCTTCTCCCCTCTGATGCATGAAGCGTTGCAGATGCAACAATGGGGCCTTTCATACCAGCCTGCAGCATGTGCAGCACCCCCTTGCATGGTGCTCAGTGAGCGGTGAAACAGTCACTTGTGGGAACAGCAACGTACAAGGAGCATAACAGCATCGGAACTGGCACCTCACTACCTTGTTCCAATCTACTAGACAGTTGCCCATTTTGTCCTGTGCGTTCTTGAACTTCTCTTCCCCAGTTCTTTTCCATTTGTCCATTGTTCTCAATTGCGTTCACCATCATCTCACACCACACCAAATGCAAAAGTGATCAATGCATTCCCACCCTCATCGACTTGGTGTTCACATTCCTAACTCATCACGCTCAAGACAGTTTGCACAGCAGTTTACCAGGGAGCTACAATGCATCTGCACCAATGACATCTGCTGTGCTAATCCCATCTGCTTCACAGCATGCCTGCCATCGGAATGATGGCCTGTGGCCACCCTGACCACCAAAACCACTAGAAATACAGTTGGAGTTCCCCAACCACGGCACCATCAGTGACAACAGATCCGCTCAACATTCCAATCTATCCACAAATGGTCAAATGGATGATGGGGCTGGAGATGAAGTTTTAGGGGGTACTTGGGGCGATGATTGGATCAATCAGCCAAAGAGCCACACCCCTGGGAAGCAGTCCCAGGCCCCACCTCTGCCTGTGGGCACACCCTTGGACTTGGAGTCCTTCACAACCTCTTCTTGCAAGGTGTCCCAGGCAGCTTTTCCCATGAGTGGTGCTCATTGAGTGTGCAGACAATTCTCTGCCTGTTCTGATGCTATGTCTGACAGCCAGCAGCCACCTCAAGGGCCAGTGGGTACCCACCTGCCTTTTTCCAACAAATGCGAGGCAAATATCTAGACACACACATTTCACAATCTCTCCAGGCCAAATACAGCCCTTGAACTGAGTGTTCTCCAACAAATGTTTGTGGCCACTGCAAATGCATGGAACGCGGCCTGCTGAATGCTTGCTTAGGATGGGTTCCTCCATTGTACGATCCGTTCTTGGGGTGTTGCAACACATCTTGAGGCACACCCCAACAAGCCAACACACACATTTGCCTTGGATGTGGTGCCCTTTGCATGACCTGATTCTTTTCCTCCCTGCAACAAATCTTACCTGCACGAGTTTCCCCCTTTCTGCCCTCCTGCCCATCAGCCCTCAATCCACCACCAGTGCATCTTCTATCGCCTTCATAGGATCCACAGGCCCATCCCCAGCCTCCTCGCCCCCCTCTTCGCCCTTCCCCGCCTTCCCCCCCTCCCCCGCCTTCCCCCCCTCGCCCTCTTCCTCCTCCTCCCTCTCCCTGGCCCTGGCCTGCTTCTCCATCTCCTCTATTCCCTTCTCTGCCAGCGCCTCCTCCATGTATCTGTCCGCGTCCGCCCACACCGGCTGGTGCGACCAACCCTTGTCCCCGCCCTTGATCTTCATCGGCTGAGCGTAGTTCACCCGCAGCACCTGGAACACAAGTTATTGTGATACCATGAGCTGAGTGCCACTGAAACACACGATATCATGATATCATGAGCTGAGTGCGATTGAAACACAAGATACCATGATATCACAAGCCGAGTGCCATTGAAACTACTGCCATTAGACAGTGAATGAGGGCGCTGTTCGCAGCCCCCATCGTTCGCAGCGATACATGTCTGATGTTTTACTCACTTGCAGGACCTGGAAATCATGATATCTTGATATCATGACCCGAGTGCCAATGCATTGAAGCTATTGCCATTAGCCTGTGAGTGAGGACGCTGTTCGCAGGCCCCACTGCTCTGAGCGACACATGTCCGACTTTGTACTCACCCGCAGAACCTGGAATACGTGATATCATGAGCGGAGTGCAACTGAAACCACCGCCATTAGCCTGTGATTGAGATCGTTGTTCGCAGTCCCCATTGTTCTCAGCGACACATGTCTGATTTTCCACTCCCCCAGAACCTGGAATACATGCCATCTTGAGAGCCGAGTGCCGTTGCAGCCACTGCCATTAGCCCGTGTGTGACAACGCTGCTCGCAGCCCCCACCGTTCCCAGCGACAAACGTCTCCGCACCTTGCCGTACAGCTCCGAGTTGTGCATGTTGTCGATCGCGGCCGCCGCATCCTCCTTCTCTTCGAACTCGACGAACCCGAATCCGCGGTGCTTGCCGGTGGTGTGGTCCAGGGGCACGCTGACGTCCTTGATGTCGCCGAAGGGGATGAAGGTGGAGTGGAGGATGGAGTCGTTGACGCTGTCCTCGAGGCCGCCCACGTAGAGCGTGGTCTTGGGGTTGGTGCCCTTGCCGCCCACCGCCACGGTGGTGGTGGCGGCGGCCATCTGCGCACGGGCCCCCGGCGCGCGGATCAAAGCTCTAGCTCCCGCGGCAGAGCGGGGACCGGAGGCGCGGTCGCGTGCGGAAGTGCGCTCGAAAGTAGCGGAGCTGCCAAGCCAACAGTACACATGGAGAAAGGACGGGAAAAGGCACGGAAGCAATGGGGAAACAGTACAGAAATTCAAAATTTACGGGGGTCATGCACGGGTGAGCCTGCATGACAGGGCTTCTTTCTCCGTGTGCAGGGGGTCTATACTATGTGTGTGTGGGGTCTATACTGTGTCTGTGTGTGTGGGGGGGGAGAGGAGGGGTGACTTGCGCATCCAAACTTCAATACTGTTAGTCAAAATGTGGCGTCCATGCGTAGGCAATGTCATTGCGCTCCAGCCGTCAGTTGTCGCGCACCCTCTTTTCCTGCCGACATGCAGGATCCCAGGAGGAAGAATAAGAAAAAAATGCCAGCAGGCATGCAGCAGCTGCAGTACACTTAACCCTGTGAAACGGGCGCGACGTTATGCCGCTGACGGAGTCGAGACACGCATGGCAAGTCCGTCAAAAACCACCCCAATCAACACGCTTGGAGCGCCGCCGTTCACATGACCAGCCTTTAATATACAAGATCTGTTTGCCTTTCTGATGCCCTCGAGATCTACGGATGCTGTCAAGCGCTAAAAGACAAGATTCCAGCCATGTCAAACATCAAGGCCAACGTGCCCAACTCATGAAAGTCAATCACACCAGCATCAGCAGGCTGAGAAAAAAAATAGTGTCTCAACTACGTTCAATTAAATGCGCCCCAAACACCCCGGCAAGTGGCCTGCACTCCATCTGTACATTACCCCCTTGTGTGCGCAGGGCCCAGTCGCTCCTGCCGCGATGGAGTTCGCTGCTCGCCACTCGACGCCAAGGTAAAGCCAAGCGGCGCCCGGCGTCCACCAATGGAGCCTCGCCTCTCCATGGCTTCCCACGGTCGGGGAATGGCCCCCAAGAGGCCGCATCCTGGGCGGACGCATCTCAGCGGGCGGCCAGGGGCCCTGAGGGGATATGGACTGCAATGCGCGTCGAAGGCCGGGGGCCGTGGATCGGCATGGCGCGGCGTGGGGAGGCTGAGCGGCAGGTGCGGAATATGAATAATGTATGGCCGTTGGATCGCGCTTCAAGGGGCGGGCTTGAGGCACTGCGCGGGAGAGCCTGCGGGGCACGGCAGGGAGTGTGGGAAAAGGGGCCAGTAATGTGGCCCACATTTGAGGGGGACGCGCTTTATTTGAGAATTTGGAGGCCGGCGTCGCCTGACATGTGCAGGGCCAGCGATTTGTCGTGTCTTTTGACGAGATGTGGCGACCCAGGGTTGCCAAGGGCCGTTTCGCCATCCGCTGCTGCTGGGCTTGCATGCTCGTCGGTGCAGATTTGGCGCAAGTACACACAGTGGGCCATGCTTCTTGGTACTTTTGTGCATTCCCTTGCATAAGCCAGAGGTTCCCTGGGGCATTGCATTGGGTGCATCAGTCCCACCATGCCCCCAAGTCCGTTTCCGTAACGACTCACTTGAGTACATTTTTCCTTCAAAGTTCAAATCGTTTCCCAACCCCAGATGAAGTTTTCTGTTTCGCAGTGCCACAGCAATTTATTGCCTTGGTGCATCATGACCTCATTTTTGGCAGTCCACTGTAAGGAATCTTGATTGATTCAAAGGGAAAGAAATGGCCCTGCGCCTTTAGGGCGACGATGGGTTGCTGGACACAGAATCAACAGACAAACGAACAGCGGTGGAATCGAGGGCGCTTATTTGTTGGTGGCTCATACTGATGGGGGCCCTTGTCCTCTGGCTGAAGGTACCCAATGTTTGCTCACACCCCGTTGCCGCTATCGAGAATGGCTGGGCCACCGGAGAGGTGGCGTGATGTCTCTGTGGCGGCCACCGCAGCAGCAGCCGTTGCATCCGCCCCTCCAGTTGTCTGGGTGCAGTGGGTGCTGGGAATCGCAGCTGCAGTCACTGCCCTGTCGCTGTCCATCTTTCTTTTCGCTGCCCTGTCAACGCTCAAGGTACCCAAAATGGGTGATCTGGGTACTGGTCTAGTGGACAGGCGTTCTCTGTAGGAACCATCTTTGTTTGTGGTGCCAATATAAAATGGACCCTGGTCTTTGGAGCATGCTGGGCCTGCTGTATTTCATTCCAGCAATCATGTTGCATCCTTGTTTGGTAGAATTGTGGAGTGAACATCATTTTGTTTTCGCATTTTTGAATTTTTGAATTTTTGATAGCTTTTTTTGTTTTGTTGGTTGAGATGGGGGAACAAGCGATTTTTGCAGTTTCTGTTTGTCCCTCCCTTGAAGTACAACCCATACATGAAGTTTAGGTTGTGTCTGTGGTGCTGTTGTGGCTCGATCAGAAAGTTCATCAAGGTTGAGTAATGTGAGGGACACTATTTTTTCGGTGCAAACCAACTGTGCGACCACCACTGTGCCTTAGAAACTTCTGGCAGCCTTACACCTCAGAGTGGAGCATCAATTGGCCTTCGGGCTCAGTGGTCAATAACCCGGGGTGTCTATGGACAAAGGGGCAGGATTGAACATCTTGTAGTGGCTGTCGAATCGGTTCTGGCGCTTCTTTGCTTTTGTCCAATATCCTTTCTGCTGTTAATGATGTGTTTTGTGCTGCACCCTGTTCCTTTCACTCATTGGATTTCTGCTTCATCTATCACAGCACAGAGTGAATGAATGTATCTTTACATGAACATGACAAACATCACATTGCCGTCGCACTTGTCTATACTCAGCTCAGATGATCAGACGGACCCAGCTTGCTTGCTGTCTACAAGGATCTTGCAGTTTTGGTCTGACACACACCCCATGTCATCAAACTTTGCAAGTCTTGCTCAGTTGGTTATTATATATGTGAGGCTGAAAGAACAATTGATAAGTGATTGTGTGACATATGGGGATACATGGTGAAGTATGGCACGGTGAATATGGTGGTGGTGTTGCGGTGACATAGACATGGAGAAATGAGAGGGGAATGGAACGAATGGTTTCGCGGGTACAGTTACTTGACTGACACACTCATCCTGTAATGCATCTGGTTGCGGTCTTGCTTCCCATGCCTGGGAGCGACCGAGTGTGGATCGAGCGCAAACAGTCGGCACCACAATATATATTATCATATATTATATATGGTATTCACTGGTTGTAAGTCTTGTTTGCTATTTGTTCTTTGGCCAATCTTTGTTGCATTGCATTGCAGGCCATGCGATCAGCAGCCATAAGGGCTGAGGCTCTAATGTGTCTCCTGGAGGCGGAATTGCCAGACACCATGTCGGCGGTGCGCCTGTCATCGCTTGAAGTTTCAGATTGTGTAGAAGAATTCACTGGCTTGGGGTAGGTGCACAAGCTTTGGTAATGTACAGTTGCAGCATGGCTGGACCCAGCATTACTTACCAAATAGCAGGACAATGCTTGGTCATGCTGTAGCTAATGTAACTGTGACCGCATACTTGTATGCATTCAATCCATTGATGCAACGGGCATAATAGATGTCAGGCACTGGCACAAGAAGCAGCCAAAGAAGTTGCTGCCAGACAAGTCCAACAGTGTGTGGTCTATAGCATTCAACAGACACAATCAGCTTGGTCTCTCACTTCTCTCTTTGCATCCACTCATCTGTCCACGCATGCGCACAGCTCTTGCACATTCGCCAGTATGAAGAGTGCTTTTAGGTTTTCAGTAGTCAAGGTCTTCAGTGTAGACACTTTCTAACAAGGTCAGTGGTTTGAGGGATGCCTGATGCAGTGTTGAAAACTGGGGACTGGGATGTCCCTTGCGTTGTCTACACTTGCCCATACACAAGAGAAAGCATTACCCTTGTACCTTGTACTGTTTTGTATTGAAGCAATCTGCATTTGACAATGCCAGTGTTTGGCTACTTTTTCGCAAATACATCCAGAGACTTGATACAGCACAACTCGGTTTGCAGTGCCGACCTAGGGGCCGGCCTGAGGGCATCAGCAAATGCTGTGTCGGCTGCTGAGAAGGGGCTCATCCAGGCAGCAGGAATGGTGAAAGAGAAGGTCGTGCCAGCTTTGCAGCAGCAGGCACCTGTGGCTCGTGGTAAGCATCCAGACTTGTACCGCTGCTTAGCCTATTGCGACACAAGCCGTCTTGCTCTTTCTTTTTCAGTGTAGTACTTCCAGTATCTGCCTGTGCTGTTTCCAGAGTTTGGCCAACCATGCTCCTCTTGTTCTTGTAAAGCCTACTTGTTGTTTGTTTTCCCACTGTACTGTGCGTCTCTAGTCTTTGCCTCCTTGCTAGTTCCCTGGAATGATTTTGTGGCAGCATGCAGCCCCAGCAAGGGTGCGTGTTTGCTCGAATTTGAGCATGCTGCACTTGTGTCTAACTGCAGTACTTGCATGGAATGCGAGAGACACTTGGCCAGAGTGCAGCATGGGTATTTTGAGACGAATATCTCTTTCCAAACTGTTGCGTCACATTCAAATCCTATTTACGACTCATAGATGCCGACTGTCATTACTGGGAGTCGCAGTGCTGCTAAGCATCATGGCTCCATCCTGGGGCCATATGCTCCAGCAGAACTTATGCTGCATGTTAGCGCCCAACTTCCGCATGTCTGCGAGCCTGATGGTGAAACAGGATGAATTGCATGACTTGGGGTTGGGGTGACGAGGGGGACGTAATTCAACGCAGCCTGCAGGCAACCTGCACTTGCTGACTATACTTTAGCACGCTTGTCCAGTTTGCACATATTGTGGAAATTTAGTTGAGCTATGCCCAGGACGATCGGCTCATCACTCGGCAGTTGTGCCACGGTGTTCAGGAGGCTTCTTTGCGACCTACAGAGGGCACGGTTGCTGGCTGTCAACTTGTTGCAAGGAACTTCCAAGCACTGCATTCTTGGTTACTGGGAAGCAATGGTGAACGACAGCGAATAATGGCAAACAATCTGCTGTACAATCCCTCCTCATCCTGGTCAGGACGTTGAAGGGTTGTACGGCAGATTGCTCACCGCACTTTGGCCACAGAACCCTGCATCGAATGCTGGCACATTCCGAAGGCCCAAAGTGTCTGGACGCTTAGTCTCTTCCGTCGCTGGCTCAACCTTGTCATGGGCCTCGGAACGCTTGTTGTGTCATGGCATGTCCAGCACGGAATGGTTTGTGCCGATGGAAAGCTAAACAATGCAGTGAAAACACGTTTTAACGATCATGTGTTTGCGTGTGCTTTCACGCTTTCAATTCAATTCAAAGACTTTGCATCACATTTATGAAGTGGTTTGGATGCAAATGCATGTAAACGGAATGCATTTGTGCCTTGCTGCAGAGAAACTGGAGGCCAGCTTGAAGCAGCGCGCCGACATGTCGTACACTCGTCCACTTGTCACACAGGCCGCGCATGGCACGAGGGAAAGGTTGCGTGCAGCCAGGACTCTGTTGAACGCCTTAGACATAAGCGGCAAAGCACTGGGGGTGCTCAGAGCAACCAGGGGTCGCAGCACCCAGCCACAATCCGCGCTCAAGCTTGGGTCGCAGAACTTAACGGGTACCACAAGCTCGGAAGATGTAGATCAGGGGGATGAGGAAGAGGGGGTGAGCAGCGAAGAGGGAGAAAAAGTGCCAGTCTGAGCTGGTGAGCTGCCACGGCATACGGCGAATTCCTTGTACTACATTTGTCATAATAGCAACGACAAAGAAGCCATGGGTCATGTCCGGTGGCGGCGAACGGATGACGCTTCTTCAACGATTGTTTGCTGTGGGCCAGGAGTGCGGCGGTGCCATGCAGCACTGTGTTGGTACGTGCAATGGGAAGGGTTGCCTGACCGCTGCTGCATGGTGCTATATGTGCACGTTGTGAATCTGCTTGTGGGCAGTGCTGCGACGTTGCCACGTTCTACAATTGCGTCCACACGCCCACCGCTCGCCAAGTCCCGCTGCAGGTCAAGGAAGCGGAACTCAGCGGCTTGCAAAGGGACGGGGTTTTGGACCTCAGTTTGGAAATTGCTTCCGCCGCCCTCACTCTCAGGACGCCCCGCTCCAGGCCTCATTCCGACGCCACGCTCTTCTCTTCCTAATTGCGACACGACGCCCGGAATCTCGACAGAAAGCGGCATCCATCGAGCATGCGCAGCGGCAGCGCATCGCACTTCCGCAAGTGCGACCAAAAAAATCCGCATTCTCACCAGGGCGCGCCCGCAGCGCGGGCCCTCACACCGCGGGGTCCAGCCCGGCGTTCGCGCTCCTCGTCAAGTACAGCTCCATGGGCTCGGTTCTCTTCTTCCGCCTCTCCCACTCCTTCACGCACGCCTCCGCGTACTCACCGAACCGCCTCTCGTCGTCGACCAGGCCGTCCGCCAGCATGCACGCCACCTCGTCCCGCTCCTGCCTCGCGGCCGTGGCCTGCCGGGCCCTGAGGTCCATCTGGTGCCTTAAGTACGCCTGGTGGCGCCTGCTCTCCGCCAGGCGCTCCTCGGCCTCGCGGCGCGCCTCCTCCTCGATCCGCTTCGTGCGGAGGCCCCACGCCTGCAAGACATCGTGGTGCGTGCTGTTCATGGGCGCGCATTGTTTGCACACAGGTACATGTAACTTGTCCCTCCGTCTTGGAAATAATATTACTGCCTGCACCAAATCGGTGACTGCTTGCACCAAATCACGTGCACGCTATGTCCTAACCTCAGTTTTAGGGTTAGCTTTAGTTTTAGGGTGAGTTTTAGGGTAAGGGTTAGGCTTAGGGCAGGTTTAGTTTCAGGTTTTAGGGTTTAGATTTTAGGTTAGGTAAGTTTTGGAGGGAGTCGGTGCAAGCAGTCACCGATTTAGTGCAGAAAGTCACCGATCTGGTGCAGCCAGCAATTGTATGCCTCTGTCTTGTCCGTGAAGATCCCTTCTTGTTTCGGACACCCCAAACCCTGTCCCACCGTCTCACCGTCCCACTGTCCCACTCACCCACTCACCAACGTTGGCCTTGTCAGCGGAACAAAAAGAGTTCCTCACAGAAAGGACGGAGGGACTAATATGTTCTCCACGCGTACATGCGTGTGTTTTGCTATTCAACACAAGTGTGGATCCCTGCATGCTTGCGAGGCTCTTTGTGATGCGCAATTTATAGCAGCTTGGACAGGGACTTAGAGCGGTAGTGCTGCCAAACTTATTGCAGCAATGAAACTGGCAATTTGCATTGGCTGCCAATGTGCAGAGGTCGCCTGCTTGCGTTCTTGCAGTGTCGTTTCGGATGCCCGCGGTCACTGAGTGCGACGGGTGTTGGCAAGGGCGTTACGTATCACCTCCGTACTATTGCTCCTGTACCCGGTGAGGCTGAGCTAAGGAAATGGACTCCTCTGCGCTGCAATGAGTCGATTTTGGATTCTGCAGATAGGGATGTCGCATTGGGTACATTCCATGTGCGGACCGACGTCGGGCATTGCCTTGCTGATGCAAGTGCAGAGCGTTGGCACTTTTCGGCAGCTGCACAAATGGGGGGACCTATGACCAAGTCCCTGGTCCTCAAATCGCTAAGTAGCTGCTAACCGATGTAAGTATTGCTGTTAATAATATGTCCTGAAGCTGGTTTTGGTCCGAAAGCTTGTTTGCAGACTTATGTGCACATGTACCTCGACCATTTGCCTTTCTTCCTCCTTTTGTCTTTTGCGTTCCTCCTCCTTTAACCGCAGTTGCTGTTTCCGACTTCGGTCGATTGCCATAAGCTCCTCTCTCTGCAAATTCTCCTTCTCCGTGTCCTTCTCCTGTTCAATTGCAATGGCGAATTAAATGAATTGGAATTACGTGAATGTAAATGGGAATAAATAAACTTGAATGAGTGCGGCGTGCGTAACAGACGCGTCTCAATGGATTGCTCACCTAGAATAACACCTTGCAGTTTCATACATGTAAATTCACTGGTGAATTCATTGGTGTGCAAGCCTTTAGTTGCCCTCGGTCAACCCTCAGTTTTCAGTTTAATGGCATGATGCGCTGTCCACAGGATTACATTTCGAAGGAGTCAACTTTCGGTAGACGGGTATCTGGGCATTTTCAAAGATGCCTGAGCATTGAAATACTTTAACAAGACGTCTTCATTTCTTTTTGGGAAAGTACAACGGCCACTGCTTCTCATCATGGCAAGCATGAGAATCTCATGTATACAATGGGCATCGTCCACGTGCATCATTTACCTGCCGCTTGTTCTCGGTGTCTTGAGCATTCTTTCTCATCCTGCTTTCGGCAGCGTTCTTCTCCTTCAACAAGTTCGCTTCCATAATTTCCACCATCCTTTGCCTTTGCGCATCTCTGGCGGCTGCCTTCTCAGCGGCCCTTCGCTGCCTGATGGCAAGTTTCTCGGCTTTCTTGTTGGAGTACTCTGCAGCATAGATGATGGAGCTCTCCGATCAATCTTCCAGTCATTCAAGCAAGGAAATTGACAACAGCGGCTGTTTTGATTCAGAGCTGCTCGCCTTCGATTGTCAGAGGGGGCGCAATTCGGCATACATCTGCAGGACGTTCTGTCATCTCCTCGATCTGCCGACAGTGCGTGCCACAGCCAAGTTCTTTCATGTTGCAGGCGACGACAGTTGCATCAAACGCCTGACAAAAAAGCTATGTTTGTTCCCCCAAGAAAGTTTCCGAAGCACGACATGTGTTGGCTGCCGTCGTTGAAAATTGCCTTCGGCGTGGCAAAGCTGTGCCCCCGCACTTCCAGGCGATGGCAGCCATGCGCAACCCCAAGGAGCATTTGTCTGCGACAAGGAAATGAGGCGATCAAGAGGGGTGTGACAAAAGGGAAATTTCTCACCAATGATCGCCTCGTCTGCTTCTCTCTCCCTCTCTATTTCCCTGAGTTTGAATGTTTGGAGCAAGCAGTTCGCTTCCATTGTTTCCCTGTTGGCGGCAAGCGCCCTCTCCCGCGCATCTTCATCTTTCTTTTTCATCTCTTCGGCCTCTTCAATTGCCTTGAGGCGCACGATCTGCCCTTCTCTTCGATTGCACTCCCTGCGAGCACACTTCTTCAATACATCTGTGGCATTGCGCTTGTCGTACTTATGACACGTACGCCCCGCATGTCTGCTGTTCACTGAATACTTCCCAAGAAGTGCTTCGCAATTGCTTGGTAAAATCAATCTGAAAGATGGAATTTCTGCAGCAACGCGCAATGATTTGTGCCGTGCATCGGCTCCAAATGTACGTTCGTTGGGATCGCGTAGGCCCTTGATTGAAAATCGTTGTCCCGTTCTGCCTCTCTGCCGTCCCCTCATTATCCAACTGCTCCCTGACGCCAAAGACATCTCATAGACAAACGAGTCGCTCACGTCATCGCTGGGAGTAACATCTTGAACACCTACCTCTCCAGCAACAACTTCTTCTTCAGCGCATCCAATTGCTTCATTTGATCGTCCCTTTGCAGCAAAGCTCGCCTCTTTTGGTCCATGTATTTTTCGAGTTCAGCCGCCTCGGCAATCTGCGCAGGCTCAAAGTGCTCAGACACGCTCTGAGCCGCAACGCTAGACAACAGAAACAAAGAAACACCCGTTCAATAGGCACTCTAATCTAAGCGTTGCTAAGCTGCTGTCGTTGTCGGGCAGTTCGGTACGCAGTGTGGCAGTTTGGGGTTTTTGATGGGCAGTGCTGGATGGCAGAATTTCTATGTCGGGTCAAGGAACGGTTTTCGCCCAATTATGCACTGCTGGAGTGTACCAGCGCTGTTTCACAAGTCACGTATAATGGCTACCGAAAAGATGATCCTTCCTTATCTATTCAGCCATCGCCACGCCCGTATATGTTCTATCGTGTTCATGCCTATACTGTTTGCTATCCAGAATTTTCTGGTGGCAGAAGCAATCCAAATTCGTGTAACAACGATTCCTGGATTCCTCTATTGTTTTATTCCTACAGTGCGAAGTATGTCTGATTGTCAGAATGTGCATAAATTTGGCGTAATGGACTCCTGGGTGCCGCCCTACGTTTTCAATGTGTATTTTGCCCAGCGCGGTTCTAGCGATGAACGAAGATGCGCACAAGAATTCAATTGACAAAATATGTATTTGGTAATGCAAGAAGAGCGTTCCGACACATGTGGTAACAAGATCTTGTTCCCGCATCTCAAGATCCTGGTGACAAATGCAGGTATAGTAGGCACTCAGTAGTGCGCGTCGGACCTCGACGGCCTTCATCTGTGCTTCGAAGAACTCTTGGTCTCTGGCTTTCTCGAGGGCCGCGATTTTGTGTTTCGCAGCAATCTGCGCTTCCCTCTCTTCAACGACGTCGCTGAGGAGCAAGGCTCCATGAAAGGCCTTCACCTGGGCAAACGGGAAGAAGCAATTAAATGTTTTGCCTCCGGTTTGGCGCCAGCTGTCTCAGCCACAGCTGATCAAAGCCATCATAATGCAATGTGGATTCGCAAGGCTGCCCATAATGTTAACGAAAATTGCAGTTGTCATGTGGACGCAGCCGTCCCATCTCTGTTCGCTCATCCCACACGCTGGGTGGAAAAATTCTCCCCTTCAAACATTTTCTGCCCATAAGAATCTGTTGGAGCCTGCTTCAGCAAATGTACAACCAGCCAAATTGCCCTTGATGGCAGCGAATTGCGTGACCTCAACAGCATTCTTACCTCAGCTTCCACTAGTATAAAGCACCGT